TTTTTTAAATCTTCACAAATTAAACTTTCTATTAATCCTTAAAATTTATTAGAGTGTTGTTGTGTATTGGCGTCAGCCCTTAAAGTGTTTAGTATAAAAGCCAGTTAAATCGTCAGTCTTGTCGGATCATACTAGCGGGGCTAGTCACTGATCTCCTTCGTCTGTCCCATTCCCTTCGCCTACACATTGTTCATTTCTACACGTGATAAAGTGTTATTATTGTGCTCGTCGCATTAGTTAAATCTCGGACACCTCGGGTCGTAACAATGGCGCGGTCGACAAAAAGTGAAGTGTGGCGAAGTGTAGTGAATTGCTTTGGCAATTATTGAAGTGATTGTTTGATTTTGAGTGGACAGACGTCGTAGTAAGTGATCGGCATGAGTCGAAAGTGAATTGAGTGAAATGTTAGTGCGCATGGACCTGTAGTGACCTGAAAAAGGACTCAGTGCGAGTGCCAGTGGTCTAAGTTTAAGGCTGAAATGCCTAGTGGTCCTGGAAGTGCGCAGATTTTGGCCGATCAAATTTTGAAGTGTCTGGCATTCAAGAGAATGTAAGTCCAGAAATTGAGAAAAGTGAAAAGTGTAAAAGAGTTAAATTTGGCAGCCTACGGGTGGGTAAGACCAAATAATGAAGTTTGAATTGTAGTGAAAAAAGTTAAATTTGGCAGCCAAGAAAGGTGGGTAAGACCAAATAGTGAAGTGAATAAAATAAAATTTGGCAGCCAAGAAAGGTGGGTAAGACCAAATAAGTGAAGTGAGTCAAGGCGCTAAGGAGTGAGTATTATTAGTGATTGAAGTATTATCCAGCGCAAGTCAGTGAAGCAACCCAGACTACACATAGTGTAAGTTCAGTGAAGTGTTGTGTGTACCTGAGTCTTTGAAGGAGGCGAGATGTAACATGCATCCTTTGAGTGGTTAGTTAGTAGTAGTAGTATTGAAGTGATAGTATTCAACCACGAGCCATCCTAAAAAGTACACGGCGAAACGGCACCGAACTGCACACTAGCTAAATGTTAGTGTTGTGGAGTTTGACTTCACTTAATTTTAGTAGTGATGCGATTCACTGAAAATATTATTGGGCACAGTGTTGAAAAGTAAATATGTGAAAAGTGCCGCAATAGAAAGTGTGAAAGTGAAAAAAAATGGAAGTGAAATAAAAGTGAGAAAATAAAATAGTGAAAAGTGAAAAATAAAAGTGAAAAGCTTATGGACAAGCAGTGTCATGATCAACAGTGTGGCCAATTCAGGACGTGCGATTGCAGTGATGGAAGCTGTTGTATGCACTGTAGATGTCCGCTGTCAGAAGAAAAATAAAATGTGGAATAAGATGACAAATTTTGTGATTTTGTAATTGTTGTAATTTTATTTGTTGTTTTTCGTTTTGCCCTTTTGTCATCCCACATTTTTGTATTTTGTTGTGAGTTGAGTGTTAGTGAGACTAGACGAACTGGCTTAGTGTAATTGTATTGATAGCATGGAAGCTATAGTGAATGTTTAAAATTGTAAAGCTTCGGCTTTAAGTGAAAGCCGAACCTTTTTTTCAAGGGGGGAGGTGTTGTGTATGGGCGTCAGCCCTTAAAGTGTTTAGTATAAAAGCCAGTTAAATCGTCAGTCTTGTCGGATCATACTAGCGGGGCTAGTCACTGATCTCCTTCGTCTGTCCCATTCCCTTCGCCTACACATTGTTCATTTCTACACGTGATAAAGTGTTATTATTGTGCTCGTCGCATTAGTTAAATCTCGGACACCTCGGGTCGTAACAAGTGTATTTGGCAAATATTTATTTCTACTTAGTATTTCTTATAATTCTTATTAATTTTCGGAACTATTTAATGCACTGTTAAGCTCAGTAAAATATTTGGTGACGTCCTTAGATTTATTTTTTTTAATATTTAATAAAGATATCATCAAACTGAGTGAGTTTAGCTATACCTATATGTATTTCTCTGGGGCTAGATAATTCTTATTTTATTAAGTTTTAATCATATTTTTAGTAAATAAGGCTGAACATGTAAAAAATTTTCTCAATTAAACGATTTAATGAACATCTCCGTAACTTAATATTTGAAATATGTAGAATGAAATACCATTAAAATGCAAACATCGCATTAAATTGGGTGGTATGCCATTCTATTCAACTTCTTATGTTTAGAAGTTTTTAAACTTCTAAATGTTTTGAAGCAAATATAACATGTTATCCTTAGGATTGAGAAATTCTAGCGCTATTTTATGAGCGCTTAAACGAATATTCAATCTTCATTAATTTATATTTGTCTAAATTAAGCAAATATTTTTATTTATTATTCGGAATTAAACGTTTTAAATTCAATATGCTTAATGTTGAAATAAGGAAAATAACGGTGTCAACAAAGGATTATGAACTCATTCCAAGAGATCTGTACTAAAATACACCAATCTTTATAATATCTATTATTAAACCAACCTATAGATTACTTTTATTTAGAATATATGTAAAACTTACATATGTATAATGTTCATATAAATTTAAAAAACCGGAAAGGAAAGCTTATTTAATTTATTTAAACATCCAAACATTTTAAATATAATCCTCCATGTACATACATTGGTTTTCGTTCTTTTGGCTTTACGCTTAAAAATCGTAATTCCTTAGGTTTGCCAACATTTGAAAATATTTTTATGTTAAACATGATTGTCATATCTGGCTCATGATCCTAAATGGTAATTAAATTTATTAAAGATTTCTTAACGAAAACAAAGATCATCCCTTTTATCCTTGTTTATCTTTAATTTAGAATATTTATTACCATAATATTTTTTAGATTTTTTCTAATTAAGTCTTGTTTTTAGCTGTGCTATTTTAATATAGCTATATTTAGATAATATTTTTTTAATTTTTAAAATTTGTTTATATTTTCTGAATAAAAATAAAATCTATTTAAAAAACAAAATAATATACTATAATTTATAACGTAGTGAAGTTCTCTAGATAAATATATACTAATTAATTTTTTTATCGGAATTTAAATTAATGATTCATCAAAATATTCACCGTATTCTCTTAAATAATACCTTAGCTCAAATAATTACCCCCGTGCAAGAGGTTTAAAAAATAATTACTATCTTAAAATTTCTTTAATTGGCTTTTCTAAAACAACCTTAAATGTTTATCTTATACCTCTTAATTACCCTCTCCAGCGTGATGGGGTAATTAATTTTCGAACTAATGATTTTGAAATATGTTTAAGTGTCAGAGTATATATTTACTTGAAAATAAAGAAGCTTATTTTGGCAGATATTTAAAAAGAACGAACTAAGAAACTCCATTATTTTATTATGTTTTTTTTTATTTCATTTTATCACAATAATTCTTTAATTTAATTTAAATTTCTAAAGAAAAATCTCAAAATATTTATACTAATTTTTAGATGGCCGTATTGTCTCGATCCCCCCTCCCCCACTCGAAAATTTTATCTCGATTAATCGCCCTCTCCCTACCCCTCTAACGAAGAGTTGAAACAATAATTACCCTCTCTCAAAGTTCAAAACTCGTTTAAAGTAGTTAGTCATACGTACTTATTCCATTTTTTACCGCACTTTCCTAAAGGTTTAGGCTTGTCTGGGTGCCCCGCCCCTTTTTCTTTGATCTTTGCCGCCAAACCTATGCCTGTGGGAGGGGTCTGTAAATTTTTCAAAGGGTTTTGAAGTGGTCTGGGGGAGGGGTCCGAAAAATACAAAGGGATTTCCTTTGATCTTGCCGACAAATTCCAAGGTGTGAAATTTCACACCTTTTTGTTTCTTTGATCTCGCCGACAAGCACAACTTATTCCATTTCTTACCGCACTGGGAGTGCGGTAAATCGTCAAGGTGTGAAATTTCACACTTTTTTTCCCTTTGATCTTACCGACACAATCAATTTGTTCCAAGGTGTTGGGGGAAGGGTCCGACGAGTTCAAATTTGGCAATCTTAAAGTGTTAATTTTTACACCTTTAAACTTTTCACACCTTTAAAATTTTTTAGTTAATTAAACTCTTAACTCATTGAAAATAATTTTAATTTTGAATATTTTGAACTTTTAAATAATAAAAATTATCCCTGAACATGATCGAACCGTGACAACAAAAGAATATTCCGAATCAAAACCGCTACCTACTAAGCTACAGAGGAACATTTTTTATTGCATTTTTTCTTTTTTTAAAACTTTCTTTAAAATTATTTTTAACATGCATGCATATTAAATTAGTCAAATTTAAAAAGAGCGTCGCTTCTATATTTTAAAAGAGCGTCGCTTCTCTCTTTTAAGTTGGCGTCGCTTCTCTTATAATTAATTCACCGAAAAGAAAATATTTTTATAATTTTACATGCATGCATATTAAATTAGTCAAATTTAAAATAAGCTTCGCTTCCTTTTTCAAAGATAGCGTCGCTTCACTTTTATTTGATTGAGTATAAATACCCGAATAAAACATAAATCTTAAATTGAAAAATGATTTTCAAAATATTTTTAATAATATATATGATTTATAATGTTACTAGCGAAAATAAAAGTTTATCTGATTTTAAAAGATGGCAGTGTGAGAGAGCTATAACCGAATTTCGAAAAATATCCCCAGCTGTATATTTCACTGATGTTTTAAATGTGAGTGTACCTGAAGACATGGATTATAAAATAACTTGGACCCCGTACGGTCATGCTTGGTACGTTTGGGATGAGAAAGCAAAATCTATTATGCCCATGTATATGGGATTTCCAGCAAGACCTAAACCCGAAAAAGATGGTATATTATATTCTGGATGGTTAACTATAAAGGAAACTTGCCTATCAGTTATTGATTTTTTCAAAACGATTTTCAATCCATTAGCCGAACTAAAATTCCAAAGAGGTGTATTTAGAAGGTAGTCTTCAAACCAGTTTTCGATTACTTTAACTAGTCAAGAGGGGCGTGGTCTAATTATGGAGTATAAAAGCTGAGCCGATGTATGAATTTCAATTTAGTTTTGCTTATTTTTAAAATTAAAACATGAACACACCAGCAAGTATAAACATGAATACAACAGCAAATAACCTTTCGAAGCTTATTTTACCAGAAGTGGAAATAAATATTAATTTAAATGGAATAACAATTTCTAGCGAGCGTTTATCACCATCACGTTTTATTGCATTCGATCGGGGAGGAAAATGTCGTGAGTGTAAAAGTACAGAGGTGGAGGTGGATTTTATCGTTACAAAAGATGGAGTTAATGTCGATTGTACACGTATTTCGTGAACTCGTTTTGTACCTTTTGACAAAGTTCATAACTTGCCTGGAGTATGCTATTTTAGAGTATGTTTTTTTAAATAATTCTCAAAGAAAATTTTCAATTAAGGTTAAAAACAAAGGCCGTGTCACGAATATTCCATGTATTTCGATACCGGTAGGACCGCCACCTCCTCCACCACCACAACAATCAACACAAAACAAACAAAAAACGGAAACAAAAACTAAAACAAATAATCAAAACGAAAAATTAACTAAACGTACAAAGATTGGCAATAATGAGGATAAAGAAAATGATATAGTTAATGAATTTTTTGATAGTCTCGATGCAGCTACAACAGGAATTCCATCACAGATCGACAAGATGAATACTTTGAAGAAGCAGGCTATAAAGATGGAAGAAGAAGAGGAGATGGCCGCTATAGAATCGTTATACAACATACCCCATTGATTTAATGACTATTTAAACATAAAAATTTTTGATTAATTAATTATCTAATTTGAAATGGAAACATTAACATTCACAGATAAAGATTTGAAATTTAAAATTCCTTTTGGTATGATAATCTCTGGACCTAGTTCCAGCGGAAAAAGCACATTATTGTTAAAATTTATTTCTGAAGCTTCAGATTTAATTGAACCTAAACCTAAAAGTATACTTTATTGTTTTGGGGAAATGAGTAATATTGTCCCTATACTTCAGAAATCAGGTGTCAGTGTTTATTCTGGTGTTCCTCCCGAGGATTTGATTAAAAAATATCAAAAACCTTTACTACTAATTCTTGACGACTTGCTCATGTCAATTGATGAAAAATATTTGTCAGAGTTATTTACAAAAAAATCTCACCATCAAAATTTTGCTATTGTCTTTGTTACTCAGAATTTATTTGAACGCAAGATTAAAGTCGCACGGCAAAATGCTCAATATATTATTATAATGCGTTCTCCTAATTCGGTATTATCTGTACGTAATATAGGTGTTCAACTATTTCCTCAAAAACTTGACTATTTCCTCGATGCATATAGGCAAGCAACAAATAAACCCTTTGGTTATCTAGTTATTGATATGCATGCTTCATCTGATCCAGGACTAAGACTACGCACAAGTATATTTAAGGAAGACGAAGAAAAAATTATTTTTATTCCAAAAAATAGAGTATAAATAATAATATGGTTAGTCAAATTATTCGAGAAAATTCAAGATTTTTACAACTTCTTGCAAAAACTAAATCTCAACGAAAATTGCAACGACTGTTAAGGCTCTCAAATACAAACCAGTTATTAGCTATAACCGAAATTTGTCTCAATATTATAAAGGCTAGACTCAAACTTACACCTCGGCAAAAGAAACGACTGATTCCACATGCTGACTTTGTTCGTAAAATGAGTAGGATAAGAAGTGAACTTGGTGCTAGAAAAATTTTAAATCAAAAAGGAGAGGGTGTGGGTATGTTTGCAGCGTTATTGACACCGGTTCTTATCGAATTAGCAAGATCTCTAGGAAATTCTATAAAAAGCAAGAATTAAACAAATAAACAACATACTTAAAATTATGGCAAACAAATTTATTCTTGTTCCTGAGGAAATTTACAAAGGTCTAACTACCTTTGATACGGGGGAACCAAATCTAGATTTAATTAGAAGCGATATTGAAAAAATTAAAAGAAAGAAAGATACTCCAAGTGCAAAAAATGTAAAATATAACCAAGAACTGAGACGGTATTTACAATTAAGAAATGAACAACAGAATAGGCCAGTTAAAGTAGAAATGGTAGCAACGCCTAAAGGAGCAATCATGAGTACAAATTCTACACGTCCGTCGTCTAATATAGTTGAAGATGATGACGAAATATTGACAACTGATGATATTTCTCTTCCATCTTATCCTCAATCTACCAAAGATATAAAATCGATGATTCATTTCAATCCTCCAACTGTATCACATCGACCAACTATATCATCATCAATATCCGATAAAAAACATATTAAAAAATTAATAGAAAGCTCTCCTCCTCCTCCACCGCAACCTTCAACTAGAAATCATAGAATAATAAAGAAATTGGAGTTTAAACCGAAGAAAAAAATTACAAGACGTAAGAAAAAAATTACAAGTCAAAAAACTACTAAATATACAGATTCTGATAGCACAAAACAAGACTCAATTGTTCCTCTAAATGATACGTCAGTAATACCTCAAAAAGCTATTAAAAGAATATTAGAACAGGACGAAACTGAAAGTATTAAGAGGAAAAGGAAGGATGATAAAAAAAGTGAACAGGAAATAAAACAAAAAGACCAAAGGTTAAAAGAAGTAAATAAAGAACGTTCTGAAAAAAGACAACAATTATTAACAAGACGCCGTAAGTCACAGAAACAAAAGATTCCAATAGATCCTTATGTTATTCAACAAATTCGCAATAAAGAAAAGAAAGAAAATCCAAAAAGATCAAAAAAAGTTATGAGAGAGGGAAGGTCACCTTCTCCAGCTATGAAACGTCAAAAAGTAAAGCGAAAAGCGGAGCTGACAGATGGAAACGGACATACAATTTCAAAATTACAGAGAAAAGTCAACAAAAAACAGTCACAAAGAGCCTCAAGATTATGGGTTAAAAATTTAAAGAAAAGAAATGTAGAATTTCACCCATATAAATCAAAAATTAAATGGGCAACAAGAAAACCGACTCAAAAGGATATTAAAAATTTTAAACCCTCACTTTGGTAAAATAAGATGGCAGATTATACTAAATTTCTTGATGATTTATACAATAATCCAGAATCACCTGCAGCTTTTTCAGGAATTGATCGACTTTGGTATGAAGCACGTAAAGTTCTCAAACATATACCAAGAAAAGCTGTTCAACATTACTTAGAAGGACATAGAACATACACACTTATGCGACCCAAACGTATTCATTTTAAAAGATCAAAAACTGTAGCAGCTGGATTTATGACAGATGTTCAAGTTGATTTGGCAGATTTCCAACAGTTATCCCGACATAATAAAGGAAATCGTTATTTACTTCTAGGTATTGATGTTCTATCTAAACGAGTTTTTGGTGTTCCTGTAAAATCTAAAAAGACTGAAGAAATGCTAGAAGCTTTCAAAAATTTAATTTCACAAATGCCAATGAAACCTCAGCGAATTTTTTCAGATAAAGGTACAGAATTTAAAAATAAACAAATGAAGGAATTTTTTGAAAAAGAGGGGATAGAAAAACACGAGCCAACACATTCTATCGTCAAAGCTTCAGTTGCCGAAAGAGCAATTCGTAATGTAAAACAACGACTTTACCGAAATTTTGCTCAAAAGAAAACATTAAACTGGATTGATGTCCTTGAAAAAATTTTAGAAGGAATAAATAAAGCAAAAAGTAGAATTCATGGAATGCGACCGATAGATGTTAACTTTGATAATGCTCAAAAGGTATGGAAACGAATCTATGGAAACATATTTTCTTCAAATAATAAAATGAAACCAAAACTTAAAAAAGATGATTTTGTACGAATGAGCGTAAATAAAGGTGCTTTTGAAAAAGGATACATACCAAATTGGGGAGATGAAATATTACAAGTGGACAATATAAAGGAGACCCCATTACCTGTTCAATACAAAGTCCGTGATGATAAAGGTGAAAAATTTAAGGGTTCATTTTACAATGAAGAGTTAACTCGTGTAAGAAAAGATGCCGATACAGAATACAGAATTGAAAAAGTTTTGCGAAAAAGAAAGAGACCAGACGGAACTTTTGATGTTCTTGTTAAGTTTATAGGATACCCAGAACGAGAATGGATTCATGAGTCACAATTAGTATAAAAGTAAACTTTTTTTTCATTTTTGTAAAGTTTTTGTGATAAAATATGTCAAACAGTTTTTTTGTCTTCCTCCCTAGTAATATTCCCGATTATCCTGATAATCGGCCAAATAAATTTAGAGTTCATTTACCAAAACCACTCTATTTTTCTGGGAATTGGGTGTGTGGTTTACATAGTATTAATTATCCATATTCCTGGGCAGCAACTATCGGTACACTAGATGATCAGTGGATTGATATACATTTCAAAGATAATCTTGGAATGGCCAAAGTCTTAAGAGTCCCCGTTCCAAAAGCATCACATACAACTGTTGAAAAATTACACGACTTTTTAATTTCCACGCTTCAACATCAAAGTGAGACTTATGGAGCTTCGCCTTTGGAAAAACCTGAAGATTTAGTTGATTTACCCTCACTTAAACGTCAAAAAAATAAACGATCATTAGAAGAGTTAAGACAAATTAGAGTGGGGATCATTCCTAAAGTTGATGAAGTGTTCATAGATTATCCTGATCAATATTGGGACCAAATAAAAATTTTAAAAGATAAACTTGTAGAAGATTCCAAATCTTTAGATGAATTTAAATTAAGAACAGATCAAGAACAGGATGAGACAATCAAAAGTGAAATGACAACAACATTTTGGAATCTCAGTTACAAAAGAAGTGCTTTAGAGTCTCGAATTAGAAAATTAGAAGAAGAAGCAAAAAGGAGAGATTTTGAAAAGAATAATTCAGATGTAAACATTGTTGTCGATTTTTTCGAAACCTACCCCGAAAATTACAATGAAATATTAATTATAGACCATCTCAAACTAATAGCTCTCTTCATAGAAGACAGAAAGGAAAAACACTTACAACTAGAAGGGTTTTTACCAAGATTTAAAAAAGAAATTGAAAAGATGACTAAGAGAGTAAATTTACTTGATGCTGCTGTACTAAGAAGAGACAAACAAAAAACTGTTAAACAATATAATAGGGAGAACTATATAACCCATAAAGGCTATGTTGATAAATTTTTCAGTGATAACCCTGATTATTGGCCAGCAATAAGAAGTAATTTTTACGGCTTGATTGCTACATATCAGGAAATTTCTCATACAAAAACTTTGTATGACGAGGAAACAGATGAAGATCGAAAGAAAGAATTAAATACTAATATCGATGGACTCAAAAGACTTGTCAATTATAGAATGGATAGATTTAGGGCACTTGAGTTTGAAGGAATTGCTAGAGACAGAGAGGCAGCAGATGAACCTTACAGGCCCCCACCTCTACCAACGTATACAGACATACACCCTCCCCCAACAACTACTCAACAGACTTCCCCTTCAAAGTCTCTACCAGGTTACACCTCTCCAACACAACCTGTCTCACAAGATCAACAAAAAGGAGAACAACCCCCTCTTCCACCTGTTATACTTGAGCCTCCTAAACCTATGGATATTTCGAAAACTTCCCTTCCTACACCTGAAACAACAACTCCTGTTCAACCTTCACGACCTGAACCAATTACTGAGGATCTTTCAAAACTTCCCCTTCTTCCAACTCCTGAAGAAACATTCAGTGATCCTCTATGGACGGAAGAAATGGAACAAATATTAACTACTATACTAGGGAGAACACCCACTCGCCAAGCCAGAATAAATTATTTACCGAATATGCCGGCACTTTTACGACAGTATGGACGATTAAAAAAGGATAAAGTTGATGCTTCCGTCCAAAAACAAATAATTGATTCTATTGAAATATTATATCACAAGGATTTTGAACGTTTTAAAGTACAATTTTCTCATACGAGTATTAAATATCTATCTTTCTCTCCTCAACTTGGATATGTTTTGGGGTTTGAAAATACAAATATGGTCCAAAATAGAGAAATTGCAAAGTATGGTTGTGATTTAAGAGGGGGTTTTTCAAGTTTTGCTGTATATACAAAAGGGCTAACAGAAAATATGATTATTGGTAATAGTTTAAGTTCACTTCTACGTGTGGTCTCTGTTGCAGGTGCAAAACCTGGAGAATATAATGAAAACATTTATGATTCACCAATATATGCTCGTGTTTTACCAAAGGAAGTTAACGAAATTGAGATTGAAATAAGAACGATGGATAATGGCAGACTAGTACCATTTTCCTTTGGTACAGTACTAATTGTCTTAATATTTAAAAAGGTTATAAATTTTTGATTTCTTTCCAAAGTGTATATAAATAGAAGTTGTAATTTTTAATTTTAAAATAAATATTATTTTTATTTTTAAAATAAATATTATTTTTAAAAAAATGGTACATGTTATTTTTGACACCAGTACAGTAGGATATGGCGATTTTGTCCAAAATAATCCTGGTGAAATGTCTGGGGGTGGAGAAATTTCAAATGATTATTTTCGCGGGTCTTCACCTTTTCAAAGAGGATATGGTATTCAAAAAGGGGCAGGAGTAGGTGATGTTATGCGCGGACTATGGCGTTTCTTTCTCCCTGTTATTCGTAGTGTTGGGAATACTGTAAAGTCTGAGGCAATTAACACAGGACAACGTGTTCTTGAAAGAGTGAGCCAAGGTGAACCTATCAAAGAGGCTTTTATCGCTGAAGGAAAAAAAGGGGTAGATACAGTATTGGAAAAAGGAGGGTTACCTAAACAATTTGGTTCTGGATTATCAAGAAAAAAGGGTATAAAAGGCAGAAAATTACCAAGTTATCAAACATTAATTGGCAAACCTATTAAAAAAAGAGTGAAATCGGACGTTTTTGCTCTTTATTAGAAATGGCTTTTCATAAAATCGACAGTGATAGTATCAACTCAATAACTAATGCTTTAGATTTTTTTCAAATTCCACCTACAAATGTTAGTATTTCATCGTCAAAAGTTTTTGAAATTCTTACAAGCAATCCTTTAACAGATACGCCTTACCATTTTAAAATTCATTCAAGTCAAAATTATATTGATCTAACTAAATGTTATTTATTTACTGAATTTCGCATACGAAAAGAAAATGAAAGTGGCCAGCTAGTAAACCTATCCGTAGCAGACAATATCGCTCCAATACAACTTATAGGTCAAACATTTATTAATAACATGAGAATAAGTATTAATGGGAGAGAAGTATTTAATGCTAATTCACTTTATGCTTACAAAACTTATTTTTCACACGAACTCTCTTATTCACAAAATGCAAAAAGCTCTCATTTAAATGCAGCAGGATATTTTTACAATAACACAACAACTCAAGAAGGTGGAATAGATTCTATTGAAAGGAAAAGATTATTTGAAAATAGTAAAACTGCACAATTCATTGCAAAAATTGATGCAGATCTTTTTAATCAGCCACTTTATTTAATAAATCATTGTGAAATCGATATTGAAATTATACCAAACGATTCACGTTTTGTTCTAGTAACTTATGGCCTACAAAATGCTATGGAAACACCAACACGTTATCATTTTGAAGTAGTAAATATGAAACTTTATGTTAAAAAAGTTGATTTAATGGATGGATTGGCTTTGGATATTGCGAAAAGACTTGAGACTAAACCTGCTCGCTACTCGATAAGAAAAACTATGATGAAACCTCTATTTATTAGTCAGGGTCGATATGAGTTTAATGCCAACTTATTTATGGACCAAATTCCTAGACGTATTACATTAGGACTCGTTTCTAATTCTGATTATGTAGGAAATATTAGTCGAAGCCCGTTTAACTTTCAACATTTTAATGTTCGAGAAATTTCTATTATAGCCAATGGTAGAAATTATCCACAAGCCCCATATGATTTTGATTATGAAAATGGAAAATATATTCGCGCTTTCAATGATATGAACGAAGCAATTGGTTTAGCAAATTCAACTGAGAGTAATGGAATAACTTTCCAGCAATATGGCAAAACACATTGCATATATGTTTTCAATTTA